AGTCGAAGCGTTAAATACAGCAGACAGTGTTGCCGTATTTCCTTTCATTAGATCAGATGTTAGATCAAATTTGTCAAAACGTTATATATTCATTCCATTATCTCAATAATTACATTGTAAGTGCATATTTTTATTGTTTTAAAATGTTTAGTAATATTTAATTCCTTAATTACAATGTTATTTTTCCAATCCTAACCATTTTTAAGAGCAATATTAACGTTTGATTAAAGTTTTTTCCCCAACTCCCATAAGAGCCTGTGCATAAGAGCATAATTTTTAATACCATTTTTCAAAAAAACTACATTGGCAATTGATCTGATATTTTTACACGAGGCAATTTGCATATTCATTAACAGATTTCAATTGCTTTGTAAACTTTCTTACCATCTTTTTTTTCGGTATCGAACTTCCTTAAACTTTCTGCAAAATGATGTAAGAGAACTATTGGATGATACAACGTTAAACGTACGGTTAACAATACACTATCAACAAGATGGGGCACCACCTCACGTTAGCCATAATATCATAAATTGGTTAAACGATCAATTTCCTGGCAGGTGGATAGGTAGAGGTGATCCCATTCCGTGGCCACCTCGGTCTCTAGACCTAAATCCTCTAGATTACTTTCTGTGAGATAGGATGAAGGCTGTAGTTTATGATGCTACAGAAATAAATTCTTTGAAAGAATTACAGCAGATGATTCATTTATTTGGCTGAAAATCAAATCACAACAAATAATTTTTAATTTTTGAGTTCACCTCGGGCAATTCGACGTTGAGCTGAAAAATGTATTCAGCAAAATGGAAATCTGTTTGAGCATTTGCTATAAAAATTACTATTGATATAAAAATAACTTTTATTAATAGTGTGGTTTTCAATTATTGTTATTAGTTTATTTTATTTAATAATTCCTCATTTCAATGGTTTTTTTACTTTGTCAAATAATAATTTACTAAAAATAATAAATTTCTATGAAAATAACAATTCACCAAAAGTAAATAACTGAACTGTCAATGCAAATAACGTCAAACATATTTTGGTTATTCAAAACCTGCGACGATAAAAAATATTGAAAATTATTATTTTTAAACGGATTTTACACAAAAATGGAACATTCTACCAATATGAACCAAGAGTACAGTATAATCTCTATAATCCGGCACTTCACTACACCGGCACGTCCAGTAATCCGGCGTTATTTTTTTCGTGCTTGTTTACTATTCTTGAAGAATACAGTTTATACAGTTATAGTTTAACTGAAAGATTATTTTACAGAAACATAAAAACACTACAATATACATATATTGTACACAACTATATGTATGTATCTATGTACCAATCTCTTTGTTAATAAATAATTAAAAGTAACGTTTTTCAATTTAATACTGTTTACATATACATTTTCCATTAATCCGAATTTTCCAGTACTCCGGCACTCTTAGGTTTTTAATGGTGCCGGATCAGTGAGATTGTACTGTACTTTTTTTTACTAAAAAACTGAAATTTCATACTTTTCAGTCAAGTCAAAAAAGTCAACGCATAAAAAAGTTATGGTAAATTTTACCCCCCTCCCCCCAGTGTTGGAACGTATGTGATGAAAATTTGTAAATTTCGTTTTAGTGGTGGACTGAGCAGGTAAGAGTTAAGGTAGTTACCAAATTTTATAAATTTATCTCAACTGGTTTCGGAGTTATTTACAAAAAACCATCATCAGAGTGGTGGCTATATTCTTCTTTGAATATTGAAGTATACTTCCAATATCCACTAACTGCTGATTGATTCTAATGAATGTGCATTTCATAGCCAACTTTTGAATTTTCGATGATTTTAAATAACAGCTACAGTACATATTAGTTATTCGTGTTTTTGTTGAAAACGACAAAGTTTTTTCAAAACTAACAAAAGAAAAGTTTTGGATTTAAATTCCCCATAAAATAAAGTAATAATTTTTTAAGTCCCTTTAAAATGCTTCAATGAACTTGAACTACACACCGTCTGCCAAATTTGGTTTTTCTAAGTGCAAGTATAACTGAGATATTGACTTTTTTCGAAATTTGTAACCCCACTTTGAAGGCCTATTACTTCTCAGGGGAGGGTGCAGCTTAGTATAAAGGTAAGTTGCATTTTTTGGGGTAGAGTTATTTATTAAATAAAACTCTTTTTAGTGTGGTTGAAATACCCCATAAAATAAAAAGAGTAACTGAAAATACCACAGACAAATAATTACAAAGAATACGTACTCTTATTCGATAATTGCGTTGCTTTTTTCATTGACAGAGAATCTTGGTTTTGTCAATGTTGATACTGATAATATGTCATGAACTGAGGAACTGTATCTAGGATATAACACTGAAACCTACTGGAATTACTTGTGACAAAGTCATGATTCCTTTAACTGTATACAGAGACCTCGAATGATGGTCTTTCTCAAATCGCTTGGCAACTAACTTATACCTACCATTATTTTTATAAGTAGAACCACCTCCTAAATTTTTTGCTCATCATTTATGGATGCCCTTTATGTTTTCAATCGTTATGTAAAAAAAATATTATGTTTACTACTCATATTTTGGTAGCAATTTGTAGGATTTAAGTATAAAATGCAGACTAGCGACATGAATTAATAAAAGGACGACTTCAAACAGGTATTATGAGGAGTACAAAACACACAATTTTTGTAGATACTAATTAACAATAAATAAAAACTAGCAAATTTAAAGATATATAGCAAAAGGTCCAACTAGAAGGTACCATTAGTAAGGTACGATGAGGGTTAAAATTTTAATAATTGCCATCATTTGAGGACACTAAAATAAATTTGTAAGTATTATATAAATAAGGTATATTTATAAATTCACTTCGATAATACAGCATATAATGTATAAACTATTTTGACTTAGGGGTGACAGAGATGATTTGATTTTTTGAAGTCTGGACTTCTATTCATAAATTTCATAATTTTATTTAGATTTAATAAGGTACTTAAGGAAGAAAAAACTATAATTCTTTTCTGCATTCTATATTAATTAAAAATTATCACTGAGTACCTACATTATAAAAGGTTGGCGTTTCTTGGTAAAAACCAAGTGATGATGGAGTCATGGTTTCATAATGTTAAGCAAATTTTTAATACGAAGGAATATTTTTTTGTCAAAATACATGTAACAAATTATAAGACAAATCATTATAATGGTGATTATGTCAGTTGTTAGGATATATATAATTAATTTGCCGTTCCCGTCAACATCCTTTACGATTTGAAACTGGCACCTTTAAAATTAAATTTGCTGCAACAATATTTTCACGTAAAGGGTGTCCCAAAATTCACACAAGAAGTAATTTTGATAGAAAACACTGGTTTTTGATTAAAAATTGCAAGAATCAATAAAAAAATTAGTATTGATTCATAAAGTATATAGAATAGGGTTAGGGTGGAATAGCATATCTGGTAAATGGCCTCCACAGTTTTGCTGGCAGACGCACTTTTTTGTCGAAATTTTCCATGACTGTTTTGCATAAATGCAAATTTCTTCCTTCAAGGTGTGGTTGGTCCTGTGTTTGCTGGCATAAACCTTAGGCTTCAAAAAAATCCCAAAGAAAGAAGTCCAATGGCATTAAGTCACATGATGTGGGAGGCCAATTCTGATCACCAAAATGGGAAATTACACGATCAGGAAATGACTCGTGCAGTAATTGAATTGTTTCTCGGGCTGTTTCGCATGTGGCACCATCTTTTGAAACTACATCCATATCTTGCAATTTAGGTACAAAGAACTGGATTATCATGTTGCAATAGACAACATCATTAAGTGTTATTGCCCGACTAGCTGTATTTTCGAAGAAGAATGGTTCGATGATGCCTCTACCCCAAAATCCGCACCAACCAGCGACGCGTTGTGGATGTATTTGTTTCTCAACAATCACTCGTAGATTTTCTGAACCCCAAATGCCACAATCAGGATTAAAATGAGCCTCATGGCTGAATATGAATCTGTTCCATTTAATGAACTCTCTTCGCTCTGTGCCTCAGTAGGCTTCAGTTCTTAAGTCAATTGGACTATGTAAGCATGAAAATGCAAATCTTTCGTGAGAATACGTTGTAGAGAGCTTCTCGAGTGTCCAATTCTTGACCATGATGACGAATTGATGTACGTGGACTCTCAGCAACACTGCTTCGATGTTTTATGTTATATATGACTTTTTGAAGAACAGGCAGAGGGATTAAGATCACTAATTTACGCGGTATCCCTAAGTTTTTCAGTTAATGTCTTAATCATTATTCCGATCATAGTTTGTACAAAAATTGAGAACTGTTGTAGCTGCCGAATCTTCATTATTTGTAAAATATTGTCCAACAACGTAAAGTGTACTTCTTTCATGCAGCGCTCCATTTTTAATAACATTGCACTGTCAGCTGTCACATTGTCTTTTTTTTGTTGGGAACACTTTGCCGCACAAATGGCGCCAAATTCAAATGTTGCATGAATTTTGGGACACCCAATATTTATTGTATATTTTACAATAAATAAATAAATAAATAAATCAGTAATCTAATAAAATAAGTTTCTTAAATAATTACTGCATACTAAAAAATATGTAAGACAGAAATTGAGCTTTTTGTCCTATAAAAAAATATTGACACAAAGCAGTATTTGATTGAAATTTAAGAAACTAATTTGTTGCCGCTAGGGAGAGTATATCTTCCAAAATCAACTAATGTTTGTTTTATTACCTTCCGCAAAAATATTTACAAAAAAAAATAGTTTCATCCATATTTTTAGACGCCCATGGAAGGGAGGTATAAAAATGCTAAATTATTGTTACATTTATTAAATGCACTTTTCATAGCTAATTTACAAACTAATACATTTTCCTGTGCATAAAATTATACAAAATAATAGTTTTCAACTTAATTTCATTTCTCTGCGTACACTCACAATATTAAAGATAAAGATATACAATTCCGTTAAAAAAAATAATTCACAGGAATAACTACTTACCTGGTTGCTGAGCTATTGCTTGTGATGTCTGCGGCTGGGTAGAAGCACCGACGGCTCCGCCGGTAGCTGCTGCCTTTTGCTTCAACATGGTCCAGTCGAATGTGTAATCGTATTGGTGATTAAGTGTGCGGAACAGAATACGGAACAGCTGTCGAAGATACATGTAATCGGGAGCTTCTTCAAACCGCAGGCCGCGGCAGTAGTTCAGGTACATGGAAAACTCTGCAGGGAAACCCTAAAAATGGAAAAAAAAAAGATATTTGAAAATAAGGAACACAAATAAATAAGTTCAGGGCCTTAGCTGAGAGGGGTTAGGATAGGTTGTGTTCTGAAACTTCTAAAATGTGAACCTTTGTGTATGTTCAATATGACAACATATACAGGCTGTCTCCTAAAAAACGCCGCAAGCCATAACTACGTCATTTATAGTCCGATTTTAAAAAACATAAAATTATATGAAATGGCTCTAAATACATTATATAGAGTGAGCCTATTTGGGTGTATTTATTATTATTTTTTTTTAAAAAGCAATAGTCAACTTTTTTTTCAAATGGCAATATGTTTTTTTTTTATTTATTATTGTGCAGAAATCTATTCCGAATTCAACAATGTATTATAAAGTCTACTTTTGTGAAATATGTATTACAGAAAAAGCATGAAAATATTAGTCGACACCGCATTATTATCGTCCGGTTGCTTAATTGACAACAAACATATTTTGACTAATCATGTATGCCTGGAAAACAAAAAATAATACAACAAAGCAAGTAAACATCATTTTAGCGTTCGTGTCCCAGTTTTTTACACATTATACTCTTTCTGTGTCATTTACAGTAGTTTATTTATTGAAATAAGCTCACCAGTGCGAAATATGAGTAATAATCAATTGACGGACATGATTCAAGTATACTTTCGGTGTAATAAAAATCATGGTGCAGGAGTCCACCTTTACAGAGAACTATTTCCTTACAGAGAAGGTCCAGAACCACGCAGATTTGTAAGACTTGAAGAAAATTTGAGAAACTATGGTCCTTTTAAGAAACCAAAGCGAGAAGAACTCCAATTTAATGAAAACATCGAGTTCAATGTTCCTAGTGTTGAAGAAAACCCAAGAACTTCCATTCGGGACATTTCTAATAATAATAGATCATCAAAGAGCCATACATTCCTCAAAAGGGAAGAGGACAGCTACAATGTGTTTCTTTAGTTGTTTTGTTTGTTGTTCTTCATTTAATATGTTTTGTGTTTAATTAATGTTATTTCGTGTTGAACTTCATATACATCGTTGGATTCAGAAAATGAATCTGCACAATAATAAATAACAAAAAAACTATATTGCCATTTGAAAAAAAAGTTGACTATCGCTTAAAAAAAAAATAGTAAATCAGCTCTAATAATATGTACAAAATTTTTAATACATGTATGTACTCTGTTTACTTACAAATTTATACAATGATTCTCAGCATTTCTGTAACCTAAAAATGTTGTCTAGATTGCACTTTGTAACATAGTATATAGAGTGTCACGAAATTAATGCAATAAAATTTGGTCACATGTTGTTAAAACCAATTTAGGGGACCTGTATTTTTTATTTTTACCAAGTGGCCCCCTCTTTCGAAGTTACAGCCCCCTGAAATCCGCCCCTAACAATAATCTTTTTTAAAAGCAAAAAAAAAAAACTCTATTTTTTTAGGTTATGCCCAGCTACGATTTCCATTAAAAAAAAATATAACTGGGTCATAACTCCGGAATCTTAAGACCTACTAAAAATCTAATACCGGCATTCAATTCTACGCCAAAGAATTAGTCTTGAGCAGTTTTCACTTTAACTCTACCTTATTTAACAGCTGAGATACAGACATGTTCAAAAGTGTCACAATAACGAGAAACGCCCTGTAACTCAGAAACAAATGAAGATAGCAAATTTCTGATTTGACAGTCGAGTTTGCCATGAAAATTGAACTTGACAACATGGTGTCAGATTTATCATATCTTTAGTAGTTTCTGAGATACCCTGAAATCCCACCGAAAATGGACCAGCCTCTACACATTTCCTAAAAACCTACTTTTTCTAGTTAGTTTCATTTTTTCTTTTCTCTAGTGTTTAACTGTTTTAATCAATACCTGACACATTACTGCAATAAATACCTTTACCTACGACCACTACTGTAAATACTTAAAAACACACCGTCTGCGATCAATGTAAAATTCCTATTACGTACGGTAAAAAAATCGCACAGTTTTCCTAGCAACCGCCTAGCAACGGCCAATACAATACTGTTTGTATTGACCGTTGCTAGGCGGTTGCTAGGAAAACTGTACGATTTTTTTACCAAGCTGTGCGTTTTTTTTACCGTACGACGTAATAGGAATCTTCATTGATCGCAGACGATGTGTTTTTAAGTATTTAAAGTAGTGGTCGTAGGCAAAGTATAGTACGTAATACGTGGTGTAATGCAATTACTCACTCATAGAATTACGCACTCGTGCGTAACTTTTCCATTCGTGCGTAAAATGCTTTTTACAACACTTATTACGTAACTATATCACCAAAATCACTAATATACTGTTTTGGCACAAGCTATTTTTTCAATTTAAAACTTACTCAATAGAATTATGATTTACAACATTTTTATTTTCTTATCACGACAAAGTTTTAAAGTACTTCAAATATATAAGTTCGATTATCTGATGGTAGATGAATTATATAGGAAAAAACTATATTATCTAAATTACAATTGCATCGGTAGATTTTGTAAATATAATAGTTTTACTTGGAATTTTCAATAAATTGAACACTTCAATACATCAGTATAATGAAAGGGATTAGGTACAGGTATTTATTTATAGTTATCAACAATTAAGTACTTTTGTTTTAAAATATAATTGAAAACAGAGATGACAGTTACCTACTTTTTTTTTAGTAGAACTCCATTTTCTATTTAATTCAATGAATTTATGTTATTAAATATGGATAGAAAACTGTATGACAAAAAATTATAAAGCTACATAAAAAGAAACCAAAAGGCACCTCTACCCAATACTCTACTCTACTGGATAAAATAATTAATGGTTAATTCTTTCGAAGATATACTAAAACGTTTATATTATCTAGATGTCATTTTTCAAAGGAGATTAATGGATCGAGGGGTCACCAATCAAAACTTTAAAAAAAAAGTTGTTCTTACCTTGCAAAGTACTTCGACTGGTGTGGACATTTTCTTCTCACTTATCTTTTCATATTTTTGCTTCTTTGTGGCTGCTTTTAGACCCTGCCAGGGTAAACAACCCCTGTTAAAATACATTAATACATATCCTAAGGATTCCATATCATCTCTGCGGGACTGTTCTATGCCGAGATGAGCATTGATGGAGGCGTATCGGGCTGTGCCAGTTAAGTTTTTATCTTCACGATACCCAATGTGCATTCTAGTTCGGGCGTCCCTGAATTTTTTCGCTAAACCAAAATCTATGAGGAAAAGTTTATTGCAATGGCGGCCTATGCCCATGAGAAAATTATCCGGTTTTATATCGCGGTGGATGAATGACTTGCAGTGGACATACTCAATGCGGCCGATCATCTGGTCTGCCAGCATTAAAACTGTTTTTATAGTGAACCTGCGTGAACAAAAGTTGAACAAGTCCTCAAGCGATGGACCCAGCAGATCCATGACGAGAACATTATGATCTTTTTCTTGGCCATAATATCTGGAATGAGAAAAATTTATTAATTTTCCACGAAATGTCACAATACAAGGAGAATTTACTAAATAACTGAGTAAAAAAAATTTGAAATTTATGAACTAGCTATGTGTTAGCTCAAATATCGCATATAATTAATTGCTCAAGCACATTCATTTATTGCTTATTATGTATCCATAAAATATGAATCAATTTTGCATATGAAAAAATATATCCTTATTTTACTAACATTTTCTTATGTTGCACCTAACCGACCTTACTTTCTAATTGCATCATTCAGACCATCTGTCTGGTAACTCCCACTTCCCTAAGGAAAGGAATTTTGGTGGGCATACTGACGTATTTGGATTGGTTTACCTGAGCAAAATTAATGTAATGTAGACACTAATTTCACTGACATTTGCTCAATTTCATCCATTTGAACATTTGAATGTTTAAATAGGTAGATTATTTATGCAAAGTTTTACAATAATCAATTCATGAAGAAATATTCAGATTGTCTACCCAGAGATATACACTTTCTTTTGCAGGAACAGTAAATTATATAACGAAAACCATTTGTCTCGCTATTTGTTACTGTTTTTCATGATTTAATGTACTTGATGTATATCATTATTAAGTAAACGATTTATTCTTTTTGATAAATCAATTTACATTGTTCTATCATGCAAATGACTGTTTGTTATAGTTATTCAAACTGATAAAAGGAAATAAATACATTACTTCAGTAAATACTGACATTTATATTAAGATTAGATTAGGTAGACTGTACATTTTTTTTTCATTTTGATTAATTTTATAATATCCATTTTCTATTAAAATGAAAAATATTTGAGGGACCTGCATCAAATGTATTTATATTATTGTTGGCTTTAACTACCCCAACATATTTTTAATTATTATTGATTGATCTTGCAAATCGTAAATTGCTCATGTCAAAGTGAAATTTGCTTATTAGAGAAAATCAAAATATATTAATTACAATAATTTAAATTTTTGTAGATACCTACTTGTCTCAGTTATTACCAAGAAAATTTCCAAATACAATTTAGAAAATTTAAAATAACACAGTTTTTAACAAAAACTGCCCGCTCTTAACATACTTCTCTTGTTTTAAATAAGTGCAACTATTTTTTAAATTAAAAGCCCTAATTCTTTTTGTGCAAGGACTTGCATACGTACCTATCTTGATTTAGTTAAAACATATTGTAAATGTCTAATAAATGTTAAGATATAAGTAAACTTTCACATGATTCATAGGATTATCTAAGATGAATCATCGTGAACAATTTCTCCCTTAAAATTGTTTTATACTTGATATAATATACAGTATTTTAAATCAAGTTGTCAAGATTACTAATTTTGACGCTATTGGAAGCACAAAATTAGTTTGTTTTCTCAGTATTGTGTATTGTATATATTAATAGAAATAGAATACAAATTTTCAAGATTACATAAATTAAATAAAGTTTGATGCATCTGGGCAATTAAAATATTCCATAAGTCATAAGTGTGTTGTGTTAGAAAGACTTTCATTTGTTAGATTATCAACTTACTTTCTTATAACGTTTTCTAATGGTCATTATCTTCTTTATCATTAGAGGCAAACTCTCCAAACCTTGTATAATTATAATGTCGACAAAATATCAAAACAGACTTTTCTGTTTAAAAAATCTATAATTTTCGCAAAGAACTATGCCCAGTTTGGGCTCCAAGAGAGCAGTTATGAAACAATGAACAACGAACCCTTTAAGATCTATGAAGAAATTAGTTTCAATAGACTACTTGAAGTCTCGTTCCACGCAATAGCTCGACTTCTGAGTCTTGGGCTACAAACTATATAGAAGAGATGTTTTTGCAGTTTAGGGGATTAAATCGACCGAAATATCGAGTTTTTAAATTTTCCGGATTTTCCATTCGTCATGTTGAATTTTGCAAAGTCCGAGGCCAGATTCGTAATCAGCGACCAAAAAACCCCATAGAACCGTCGATTAGACGTCAGGACACTTGAATGTTTAAAATAACTGATGTCTGTTAGTGGTACGGCATAGTTTGGAGAGCCGTAATTATCAGACTCATCTTCCAAAGGTGGGTCAATTTTTTATGCTCGCTCAATGTTTTACAATTTGGGCCAAGTTTCATTGCTGTTCTCTTGGGGCCCATTTCCATAAGCCACTGGGCACGATTGTTTTCAAACAATGTTGAAATGAAGGTCTAATGATTCTCTTGATGTTTTTACCTAATATTATCAATGTAGTAAAACAATTTTAATTGAGTGTAATAAAATAGCTTTACAAGATAAAAGTAAAAAAAAAAGAAAGATGAGTCTTTATCAAAAGAATTTATTTCATGGAAACGCTTTTGTAAAATAAAATCTGTGTAAGTTTAAATGTACAAAAATGTAAATGTTTTAAGGTGCTAATAAATATGTGGTGTCTCCTATTGATAAACGACTATAAATACAGTGGCTGATTTTATCTCTAGAAGTCAATAATAAAATTAAAATGTTTGACCATATCCCAAAATTGAAGACAATCGGCATTATTTTTTGATATTAATAACTTTTAATAAAATTTTCACCTATACTACATACAAAAAATGTAATTTAGGTACCTAATTTAAAAAAAACGGTAATTTCGTTAAAATAGAAAATAAAAAAGGTTTTCCTCTTTTTAACTCCGTTCGTGATCATACTCTGAAAGTTGTCAATGGCAATGCATAACTTTCTTTTCTTTTACAAGCATTTTATTTTCATGTCAGTTATAATAATTACAAGTCAGAAGAGAAGTTTAACAGAAATTCCTAGAATTTGATAAATATTGCTTATTAATACCGTAAAACTTGAACGAGGACAGAGATACATGACGCGCATAAAACATGAAAAAATGCACGTAGAAGACTCGAATTTTAAACTCTGGTGCTCGGTTATAACCTCATAATTTTTAAACATTCAGATTATAATGTTTGTAGTGACCATAGACACATCTTTTAAAAGGCAATATCCACACCTATTAGAAAACATCGAAAAAAACAAAAAATTAATAAAATGGACATCTACTACTAAAAAATATTCAACAATTATCAGCAAATCCTAATCGACATAAGTGTGAAATCTATTCGTATATCGCCCTCTACTGACTGAATAGTATCTAGCAAAGACATAAGAAAAACAAGTTTCTGAACAGATGTTCAATTATTGTCCATTAACAACTGCTATATCTAATGTTATGTTTCGATTTGTTAAGATTAATACCTAGTTGAACACCAAACTTGTTTAATGTAACTGGGCCAGAGGAGTGTTTGTGTTTCAAATACATATATTTTCAAGCGTAGTCCAGTTCATTTTGACATAAAAGGTCGATCCTTTATGAGTAATGCATGCATTTTCATTGCATTTTAAAATATATGTTTCCAGTTTTTTTACCACTTACCAACCACCCGCAACGCTTTTATATCAATTTACTTTTCCAAGATACTTGAGTGAACTTTTAGCTAACACGGTAAAGACGTTTACATGTATGTTATAAAACTACAATTTTTTTGTTGTTTTTCATGCCACTAATGTTTAATATTATATTGTTGTTCTTGAGTTATTCGCTTCTGTAAATTTAATTCAACAATTTCCAGAATCGAACGACAAAATTTTAATTTACGTTCTTGTAACTGTATAGGGGCCGTATTTTGGGCACTGTCCAAAATAAATCGGCGTTATAAATATCGACTAACAAAATTCATATGGACATAATACGCTTTTTTTAACTTTATATGTTTCCTCGTGACTGCATCTGAAATATGTAAATACTTCTCTATAAAAAAGCATCAGTCGCTTTTATCAAAATTCTAAGTAGAACTTGTTAACTGTCTACTTATAATAAAGTAAATAAATAATACTTTTATTTAATACATATTTCATTGGTGTTAATCAAAATATTAAATCGGTGGAACGTTAGGTTAATTTTTTACTAGAAGTTTCAGAATCAGAAACAACCACCATATTCTGTACTTCTGCCACTCCTTATGCAGTGTTGCGTAGAAAGAAATGAGAACTTTATTTTATTTGTTCTTTTTTCCACAATACATACAATATAAAAAAATACTAAATGCGCGTTTCTAAAATCAATTGTTTTGTGATTACACCTTATCAATTTTTGTAAATTCTATTCTGTGGACGAGAGCTCAACATTATTTTTTCAATAGACGTTTATTATATTATTAAAATTAATTGAGCATTAAACAACGTGGCGATTAAATTATTCTACATTCTTACTTTCAAGGACCGGCTAACGGAATTCATTTTAACATTACAGTAGGCAGTACTTTGAATCACTCTAACAGCAATTTTTTCATTAAAACGATTTTAACATCAAGGACTGCAACATCTTACAATGTGCAGATGAATGTATTGTGGACGTGAGGTAGCGCTGCATGGTTGACTTGTGTCTTGGGTTTAGTGACCTTCTCGGACTCACGAATAGCCAGGCAAAATTACACGTGAACTACTTCGTAGCTACAGCGTTGATGGATGTTTATCTGATTCAAGGTTTGGGCAAAATAATTGGATACTTCCATGAAATAGAAAACTGAACAATTATATCAAGCGGATAAATTAATTAGCGTCACTTTATTTATTTAAAGTTTTTTTTTAACTAGTAGGTATCGACATTGAGAAAAAATTTCGTAATTAATCGGAAAAAATTGATAAAAGTATAGTAATTATCGCACGGAAACTATAAGGTACAAGTACAAAGTACGTTGTATTATAAACAGATTTCAAATCGGATTCTACGATATCTATTTGTAAATATAAACAAATGCTTTTCATCGACAGGAAGCCATTAGAAACTCATTTACTGTGTGCCCATATTGTAAAACACAGTTCGATTAAATATTTTGTAAAACTATAAACATTATTTACCTATTTCGTGGCAATATGATTGAATCGAAAGATTTAATAACTAGTGAAAATGATCGATTTTGATTTTGGATTCAATAATCTCAACTTATCA